AAAATGAACTAGTCCATTCTTTCCCACTTGGCAGATTTAATGTGAATAAGGATTGGTCTCCCTGGGCCTGATACTCTTGTATCACTCCAGTTTTACATCACATATGCTGAGCTGCAGAACCCCATGTTGTTTCTGTGACCAGAATTGATGGAAGCTTAATAAAAGGGTGAAAAGGGACCTAAGTGGTTGAGAGTAATTATTCTGCAGTATGCCATTGGGCACATGGCTAATTACTTGCTAGAAGCAGTTTAGAGTTTGCTAAGCACTTTGGTATCTATGGATATGTAATTAATACAAAATGCCATTTTAAATCAACCTCAACTGCTGACTTCAGACCCTGACAGAGTCAGCCTTCACTGCTCTGGTAAATTCAGTTTCCTTTAGAAAAGTCTTTTAATTCCCCATAGATGCTCTCTTAATTTTAAAAGGAGATGAAATCCCTTAAAGGGATTCATGAAATGGATCACTTGTGCAGAAAGAAATTCTTGTTCCTACTCGTAACCTTTTTATTCACTGTATCACAGAGTGTTATGTTTTATTTACAGGGTAGGAGTGGGGGAGGGGGTTGGCAAACAGAGAATTGGCATGATTTGTGATTCCATTATTGTTTCCTACTAAAAATCAGAGCACATAAAAATGGCAGCTGCCTGCCCAAGACAAGAAAATAATTCTAAAGTTGGGGAGCTTGGTCCTTGGCTAAAGTAGTGCACTGAGATTCAGGAGACTTGGATTCTATTTGTGGCTGTGCCACGGATTTCCTGTGTGAACTGGAGCGAGCCACTCGCTTTCTTTCAGTTACCCATCTACAAATGTGGAAAACTAGACTGCCTTTCTCCCACCCTTTGTCTGAAATGACTATTTAGATTGGAAGCTGTTATGGGCAGAAGCTCTCTATTGCTATGTTTGTACAGTGCCTGACACAATGGGGCTTTGTCTCGGTTGGGGCCTCTTGGTGCTACTGTAATACATATAAGAATAACAGCAGCAGTGAGAAGTAGGAATCACATTGCACTTACTACTTCTAAGCCCTTCTTTCTCAGCATGGTGTATTCTCTGTAGGCAGTTGCCAGTTCTGTGTCCAATTAAAGCAGCCTTCCTTTCACCCAAATGCTGTATAATTATTTTGTTTGTAGTTTTGCTAATATTCTAGCATTTCACTATCACAATTTTTTGTAGACGCAGGGTGTTAGCCATATCCGATGGAATTGAACATATTGGGAATCTCCGCTGGGAATTGGCATTATGTCTCCTCGCTGCTTGGACTATCTGCTACTTTTGCATTTGGAAAGGAACAAAGTCAACTGGAAAGGTAAGACTGAAAATGCTCTGTGTCCTCTGGGGCACTACAGGACTTGTAGTCTCAGAATACATGTGAAAACTAAGGGTACTTAGCTTGAAGAGGAGGAAAATGAGAAGACTTTCCTACTCCAAAAAGGAAACCTGTAAATGTGTGGGGCTTAATTCTCTCTTACCCTGAGCTGTGTGATGTCATTTACACCTGTGCAAAGTGGGTGTAAAATGCTACCAAATCAGAACAGTAGTGTCACGGGGAGCTGGACCCATAAGGAGAGAGGGGTCTCAGTCTACCTGTGACAAATATAGGTGAGGAGAATGAAGGTCATGTGACCAGTGGGTCAGGTGACCCAATCAAGCCTGCAGTACATAAGGAAGCGACCTGGAGAGAGGAGATGCCACAGATGGTTGCTGCCAGATGTAAATATTGCAGAGAGTAAAACAGCTCCTGCTGGTCCCTGAGTCAGCAAGGTGAAGACACCAATGGGGAGGAGGCCTGAGGAGAAGGCAAAGAAGGCCAAACTCCAGGCTCGGAAGTGCTGGGAGAATAGGAAGATGGATCTCAGAGTGGAGGGGCTCTGCCCAGCATGAGACTGAGATTATGTTATGTTAATAGACCAAACCCCAAGAAAGGGGGTGTTATTGGACACACGCCTTTGTGGAAGTTACTGAGGAGTGTGAGTGAAGAGGAAATGGAGGCAGAGTACCATAGAGCCACCCTAGGCCAGGATGGGGCACTCAGGAGGTGACCGACCCTGTTTCAGGGAGCATTTTATATCCACCTTGCACTGGTGTAAATGTCTATACAAGATGCAGGCAATGGAGAATGAGGCCCCTTGCATTTTGCCAGTTCTGTTTTGGGTGAGAAAGTGCAAGCTATGTTTTCTCCTGAACACACCATATCGGACTATATAGACCTTTGCTGTGTTAAATTTACAGATGAGACCAATGCCAAATTCTGAACCTCAGTTGCAAGGCTTGGGTGAATTTTAACAGGGAGATGGGCACACAGCATCCAAGACGTGAATTTGGTCTTAAATTGGAAGGTGTTGCAAGCATCAGTGATGACAGGGAAATAAAACAAAGACACCAACAGAATTTAGAAACATAGGCAGCATATAACAAAATTGAATTCATCTGGAAAAGTGAAAACTAACACCTCTGGAAATAACAATGCCCAAGAGAGATATCAAGTGGGAGGAAGAAATGTTGAAAGCAGTCTTACTGGAAAAGACCGAAGGGTGATGATGGGTAACCAATTAGATGAGAACTTGCAATACCATATTGTGCCTTATAAGCCAGAACAAGTCTCTGCTAAATATGCAACAGAGACATCGCTTCACAGACTAGGGAAGCCATCTGGCACTGGTGAGGTTGCACATGGAATAGTGCATGGAGTACTTCAGTAACAGAAAGATATTGAGGAACAGGAGAGGATTCATAGAAAGAAGACAAAACTATAAAGGGTCTGGAAGGCCTGGTTTTAGAGAGAAGATGATAAGAACTAAAAGTGTGGAGAGGTGGTGGTGGGGGTGGGATGGCGGAGGGAGGAATGAAGCAATAAATGTCCACGTGTATTTGAAGCATGTACACCAAGAGGTACAGGAATGGTTTAGGGGGCCACAATGAATGGGATGAAATTGAGCAAAGGTGAGTTTGTTGACTGTCAGGAAAAATGTCCTGATAATCAGATCTATTAGGTTGCAGAGCAATCAGTCCATAGGGAGGGGGTGAAAGCCCTATCAATGGGGAGTTATTTTGTGTGACTATGCAAAAAAAACTTCTGATTATACTATAGGGAACAGGCATGGACTGGCAGGCAGACGGCTTGGGTGACCTCAGACAGCAGGTCTTTTACATCTCTGCTTTCTATTGTTTTTCATACATGTACTAGGGCATGTTCCTTTAGCTTCCTCTATTTCTCCAGAAATGGATCTCTGACTTAACCTGTGAAAATGATTAGTCTAGCTGATAGACAAGAAAGCTGTTTTAATACCATGGCGCATACCAGAGCGCAGTTACAAAGGAAGAAGAGATGCTAATATGCAGAAGGAAGGAATTGTTTTATTTAGGTGACATTTTGATAAGCGTGTTCAGCATGAGGGTGGCTGTGGGAGGGCCATTTTGATGACAGCCCGATGGAAAGTCATTTCTATTCAGTTGAAATGTTTTGGTAACCTGTTAATTAAGCAAATAGCCAAGCCATTACAAAGATATTGAGTGTGGGGGGAAAGGGGGGTTTGATGGGAATTGAGCATCCAAATCCCCTATATGGCTTTAGAAATCTCAGCCTGAAACCAAAAAAAGTTGAAGCTGGAATTCTCTGGGAATTAGGAGGCAAAGGCTCATTACAGACTCATAACACTTCGGTTATGTACAGCATTTTTGTGCTCAAATAGTTAACAAACAACTAGGCAGCTGCATATGTAGACACATATGAAAATTTAATGAATAATATCAAAAGACCAGCTCTTGCTTTATGGTAAAACAGTGTCTTTTGTTGCTCTGTTATGATAACAATGGACTGTGTTTTGGGGACTCTTTCCATATATGCAGCAGCAGGTTAAAACTATAATTTCCTCAGGAGCGCTAGGTTTGGGGGCATATCTACTGTCAGGCTGATACATCGCTGCCACAGGCAGGTATTTCCTGGTGGCTGTAGGGTGGGTTCAGATCCTCTGTACCCGAGTGCATTTGCTGTAGTTTGTGGTGCTCACTGCTACCTGTGAAATGGGCAGTAAGGCACTGTAGGAGACTGCCAATGTAGGAGCCTATACGGGCAGAATGTCTGTGGGATGTAGCTCACATTCAGCACTGCCCCTTTCCCTCCATTGCTGCTGCTCTTACTCGGAATGGAAGTATTTCACCTCACGAGTTTTCAGTATCATACCTTAGTTCTGATTAATAATTAGGCCCTTCACCGGAGACTCTTTTCCAGTGTCTTCTCTAGGCAAGTGATGCATTTTTGTTCTGTAAGAGGAACTACCCTTTCTGGGGTGGCTGAAGGATTTCAGCCCTCTGAGAATGATTGTTCTTTCTTCTGACAGAGGATTGTGGGAATGCATGTCTTCTCACTGCCTCCACTGACTGGTTGGCCAAGTTGGTACACCACAATACTGTGTTGCTGTCAGCACTTCATTATGATTAGGGATGACAGAGTGGTTTCTGGGTATGCTGCAGTTTTTATTCCTATTATAATGGTATTTTAAGTTTCTTTCAAAGATCTTCCATTTTTAGTCATTGACATGGGCTTACACATAGCCCTGGTCTACACTAGGACTTTAGGTCGAATTTAGCAGCGTTAAATCGATGTAAACCTGCACCCGTCCACACAATGAAGGCCTTTATTTCGACTTAAAGGGCTCTTAAAATCGATTTCCTTACTCCACCCCTGACAAGTGGATTAGCGCTTAAATCGACGTTGCCGGCTCGAATTTGGGGTACTGTGGACACAATTCGATGGTATTGGCCTCTGGGAGCTATCCCAGAGTGCTCCATTATGACCGCTCTGGATAGCACTCTCAACTCAGATGCACTGGCCAGGTAGACAGGAAAAGAACCGCGAACTTTTGAATCTCATTTCCTGTTTGGCCAGCGTGGCAAGCTGCAGGTGACCATGCAGAGCTCATCAGCACAGGTGACCATGATGGAGTCCCAGAATCACAAAAGAGCTCCAGCATGGACCGAACGGGAGGTACGGGATCTGATCGCTGTTTGGGGAGAGGAATCCGTGCTATCAGAACTCCGTTCCAGTTTTCAAAATGCCAAAACCTTTGTGAAAATCTCCCAGGGCATGAAGGACAGAGGCCATAACAGGGACCCGAAGCAGTGCCGCGTGAAACTGAAGGAGCTGAGGCAAGCCTACCAGAAAACCAGAGAGGCGAACAGCCGCTCTGGGTCAGAGCCCCAAACATGCCGCTTCTATGATGAGCTGCATGCCATTTTAGGGGGTTCAGCCACCACTACCCCAGTCGTGTTGTTTGACTCCTTCAATGGAGATGGAGGCAATACGGAAGCAGGTTTTGGGGACGAAGAAGATGATGAGGAGGAGGAGGTTGTAGATAGCTCACAGCAAGCAAGCGGAGAAACCGGTTTTCCCGACAGCCAGGAACTGTTTCTCACCCTAGACCTGGAGCCAGTACCCCGCGAACCCACCCAAGGCTGCCTCCTGGACCCAGCAGGCGGAGAAGGGACCTCTGGTGAGTGTACCTTTTAAAATACTATACATGGTTTAAAAGCAAGCATGTGAAAGGATTACTTTGCCCTGGCATTTGCGGTTCTCCTAGATGTAGTCCTAAAGCCTTTGCAAAAGGTTTCTGGGGAGGGCAGCCTTATTGCGTCCTTCATGGTAGGACACTTTACCACTCCAGGCCAGTAACACGTACTCGGGAATCATTGTAGAACAAAGCATTGCAGTGTATGTTTGCTGGCATTCAAACAACATCCGTTCTTTATCTCTCTGTGTTATCCTCAGGAGAGTGAGATATAATTCATGGTCACCTGGTTAAAATAGAGTGCTTTTCTTCAGGGGACACTCAGAGGAGCCCATTCCTGCTGGGCTGTTTGCCTGTGGCTAAACAGAAATATTCCCCGCTGTTAGCCACAGGGAGGGGGGAAGGTTGAGGGGGTAGTCACGCGGTGGGAGGACGCAAAATGCGACCTTGTAACGAAAGCACATGTGCTATGTATGTAATGTTAACAGCAAGGTTTACCCTGAAAGAGTGTAGCCACTGTTTTATAAAATGTGTCTTTTTAAATACCGCTGACCCTTTTTTTTTCTCCACCAGCTGCATGTGTTTCAATGATCACAGGATCTTCTCCTTCCCAGAGGCTAGTGAAGCTTAGAAAGGAAAAAAAAACGCACTCGCGATGAAATGTTCTCCGAGCTCATGCTGTCCTCCCACACTGACAGAGCACAGACGAATGCGTGGAGGCAAATAATGTCAGAGTGCAGGAAAGCACAAAATGACCGGGAGGAGAGGTGGCGGGCTGAAGAGAGTAAGTGGCGGGCTGAAGAGAGTAAGTGGCGGGCTGAAGACAGGGCTGAAGCTCAAATGTGGCAGCAGCGTGATGAGAGGAGGCAGGATTCAATGCTGAGGCTGCTGCAGGACCAAACCAGTATGCTCCAGTGTATGGTTGAGCTGCAGTAAAGGCAGCTGGAGCACAGACTGCCACTGCAGCCCCTCTGTAACCAACCGCCCTCCTCCCCAAGTTCCATAGCCTCCACACCCAGACGCCCAAGAACGCGGTGGGGGGGCCTCCGGCCAACCAGCCACTCCACCACAGAGGATTGCCCAAAAAAAAGAAGGCTGGCATTCAATAAATTTTAAAGTTGTAAACTTTTAAAGTGCTGTGCTTAAAGTGCTGTGTGGCATTTTCCTTCCCTCCTCCACCACCCCTCCTGGGCTACCTTGGTAGTCATCCCCCTATTTGTGTGATGAATGAATAAAGAATGCATGAATGTGAAGCAACAATGACTTTATTGCCTCTGCAAGCGGTGATTGAAGGGAGGAGGGGCGGGTGGTTAGCTTACAGGGAAGTAGAGTGAACCAAGGGGCGGGGGGTTTCATCAAGGAGAAACAAACAGAACTTTCACACCGTAGCCTGGCCAGTCATGAAACTGGTTTTCAAAGCTTCTCTGATGCGTACCGCGCCCTCCTGTGCTCTTCTAACCGCCCTGGTGTCTGGCTGCGCGTAACCAGCAGCCAGGCGATTTGCCTCAACCTCCCACCCCGCCATAAACGTCTCCCCCTTACTCTCACAGATATTGTGGAGCACACAGCAAGCAGTAATAACAGTGGGAATATTGGTTTCGCTGAGGTCTAAGCGAGTCAGTAAACTGCGCCAGCGCGCCTTTAAACGTCCAAATGCACATTTTACCACCATTCTGCACTTGCTCAGCCTGTAGTTGAACAGCTCCTGACTACTGTCCAGGCTGCCTGTGTACGGCTTCATGAGCCATGGCATTAAGGGGTAGGCTGGGTCCCCAAGGATACATATAGGCATTTCAACATCCCCAACAGTTATTTTCTGGTCTGGGAATAAAGTCCCTTCCTGCAGCTTTTGAAACAGACCAGAGTTCCTGAAGATGCGAGCATCATGCACCTTTCCCGGCCATCCCACGTTGATGTTGGTGAAACGTTCCTTGTGATCCACCAGAGCTTGCAGCACTATCGAAAAGTACCCCTTGCGGTTTATGTACTCGGCGGCTTGGTGCTCCGGTGCCAAGATAGGGATATGGGTTCCGTCTATAGCCCCACCACAGTTAGGGAATCCCATTGCAGCAAAGCATCCACTATGACCTGCACATTTCCCAGGGTCACTACCCTTGATATCAGCAGATCTTTGATTGCGTGGGCTACTTGCATCACAGCAGCCCCCACAGTAGATTTGCCCACTCCAAATTGATTCCCAACTGACCGGTAGCTGTCTGGCGTTGCAAGCTTCCACAGGGCTATCGCCACTCGCTTCTCAACTGTGAGGGCTGCTCTCATCTTGGTATTCATGCGCCTCAGGGCAGGGGAAAGCAAGTCACAAAGTTCCATGAAAGTGCCCTTACGCATGCGAAAGTTTCGCAGCCACTGGGAATCGTCCCAGACCTGCAACACTATGCGGTCCCACCAGTCTGTGCTTGTTTCCCGAGCCCAGAATCGGCGTTCCACAGCATGAACCTGCCCCATTAGCACCATGATGCATGCATTGGCAGGGCCCATGCTTTCAGAGAAATCTGTGTCCATGTCCTGATCACTCATGTGACCGCGCTGACGTCGCCTCCTCGCCCGGTATCGCTTTGCCAGGTTCTGGTGCTGCATATACTGCTGGATAATGCGTGTGGTGTTTAATGTGCTCCTAATTGCCAAAGTGAGCTGAGCGGCCTCCATGCTTGCCTTGGTATGGCGTCCGCACAGAAAAAAGGCACGGAACGATTGTCTGCCGTTGCTCTGATGGAGGGAGGGGCGACTGACGACACGGCTTACAGGGTTGGCTTCAGGGAGCTAAAATCAACAAAGGGGGTGCCTGTACATCAAGGAGTATTTCAGGCAGGACTTCACGGAGGGTTCCAATAAGAAATGGTGCACCTAAGTTATTGTTCTTATTGGAACAAGGAGGTTAGCCTGGCCTCTGACTGATACATGCCTAGATTTACCTCGCTGCACCTTCTCTGTTAGTGACTGCAGTGTGACCTAGAGGAATGAGTCCCCTAGACAGGGGAGGAGGCAAATGAGTACAAAACAAATCTGGTCTATTTCTTGTTTTGACCCACTCCATCTATCTTTTACATCTTTGGCTGGCAGCAGACGGTGCAGAAGGACTGCATGCCATCCACTTCTCATGGCTGCTCGGCAGAAGATGGTACAGTACGACTGCTAGCCATCCCCATCTCTTGCCTGCCTGGCAGAAGATGGTACAATACGACTGCTAGCAATCCTCATCTCTTGCCTGCCTGGCAGAAGATGGTACAGTACGACTGCTAGCAGTCCGTATCGCCTGCCCGCTCACCATAAGACGGTTCAATAGGACTGACTGCAGGACTAAAGAGAATGACCTGGTCAAGTCACTCCAAATTTAGTCCCTGCGCCCATGTCTGCCCAGGCGCTCCCAGCCGACATGGCCAGGAGCACCTCGGACACGACGAGGACGACTACCAATCGTATTGCACCGTCTGCTGCCAGAAGGCAATGGGTTGCTGCTACTGTGCAGCAAAGCCGTACCGCGTCTGCCAGCACCCAGGAGACATAGGGTGACGGTTACCTGAGCGGGCTCCATGCTTGCCGTGGTATGGCGTCTGCACAGGTAACTCAGGGAAAAAAGGCGCGAAATGATTGTCTGCCCTTGCTTTCACGGAGGGCGGGAGGGAACGGGGGCCTGACGATACGTACCCAGAACCACCCGCGACAATGTTTTAGCCCCATCAGAGTGCTCCACTGTGACTGCTCTGGACAGCACTCTCAGATGCCCGATTGTTTGCCGTTGCTCTGACGCCGGGAGGGGCGCTTACAGGGTTGGCTTCAGGGAGCTAAAATCAACAAAGGGGGTGGCTTTACATCTAGGAGTATTTCAGGCAGGACTTCACGGAGGGTTCCAATAAGAAATGGTGCACCTAAGTTATTGTCCTTATTGGAACAAGAAGGTTAGCCTGGCCTCTGGTTGATACATGGCTAGATTTACCTCGCTGCACCTTCTCTGTGAGTGACTGCAGTGTGATCTAGAAGAATGAGTCCCCTAGACAGGGGAGGGGAGGAAGAATATGAGTACAAAACAAATCTGGTCTATTTCTTGTTTTGATCCACTCCATCTATCTTTTACATCTTCAGCTGGCAGCAGACGGTGCAGAAGGACTGCATGCCATCCACATCTCATGGCTGCTCGGCAGAAGATGGTACAGTATGACTGCTAGCAGTCCGTATCGCCTGCCCGCTCACCATAAGACGGTTCAATAGGACTGACTGCAGGCAGGACTAAAGAGAATGACCTGGTCAAGTCACTCCAAATTTAGTCCCTGCACCCATGTCTGCCCAGGCGCTCCCAGCCGACGTGGCCAGGAGCACCTCGGACATGACGATGACGGCTACCAGTCGTACTGTACAGTCTGCTGCCACAAGGCAAGGGGTTGCTGCTACTGTGCAGCAAAGCCGTACCGCGTCTGCCAGCACCCAGGAGACATAGGGTGACGGTTACCTGAGCGGGCTCCATGCTTGCAGTGGTATGGCGTCTGCACAGGTAACTCAGGAAAAAAGGCGCGAAATGATTGTCTGCCCTTGCTTTCACGGAGGGAGGGAGGGAACGGGGGCCTGACGATATGTACCCAGAACCACCCGCGACAATGTTTTAGCCCCATCAGGCATTGGGATCTCAACCCAGAATTCCAATGGGCAGCGGAGACTGCGGGAACTGTGGGATAGCTACCCACAGTGCAACGCTCCGGAAGTCGACTCTAGCCTCGGTACTGTGGAAGCGCTCCGCCGAGTTAATGCACTTAATGCACTTAGAGCATTTTCTGTGGGGACACACACACTCGAATATATAAAACCGATTTCTAAAAAACCGACTTCTATAAATTCGACCTTATTCCATAGTGTAGACATACCCATAGTGTGTGCTCATTTTTATCTATATGTGCTGGGAAAATTTAGGACACTTCCAAGTTCTGTCACTAATAACAGTCATCTCTAAAGCAAAACAAGACTTGTATTTTTTTTAAAAGTACATCTTAGGTATAGCTTCAGAATGTACAATTCTTTCATACTGCCATTCCCGCCCCCAAATAAAACACCAGTTGCTTCCCTACCACCATATTTACTAAATATTAGATAACTACATTATGGGCCTGAGTCTCAGCTGGTGTAGATCAGTGTAGCTTCCCTGACAGCAGAGCTGGCTGGGAATTGGAATTTCCATTCTGTGGTAAAATGCCAACATTTTGGGGTGGGGGGGAAAGATCTTTCTGAATTAGAACAACAAAAATGCTGAAATTTCAAAATTTCCCACAAGATAAAAATTCAAAAAAAATTCAGTTTGGGACCATTGAAACTTTTTGATGTTTATATTATATTAATATATTTAATATTTATGAATTAGATCTGGTTGGAACATTTTTGATGAAATATGCTGCTTCATCAGAGTTGAAATGTCTCAGGGAGATGTATCAGTTTCAACCAAGTTTTCAACAGAAGGATTTTTGAGGTTCAGGATGGACTCTCTGGCTGTGGAGCGAAAGGGAGAAGGGGTGAGAGGGTGAAAACCTACCTTTTGGATCCAAAAAGTCATGTTTTTACATAATTCTGTTTCATGAAAATGTTCAAAAGGTTTTGGTTGTGTTCCACATGGAATGAAAACCAATTCTGAAACCTTGAAAGTTGTCACAAAAAGGAATTGTCATCTTCCGGACAGCTGTAATATAAAGATATTAAAATATTTATGTTAATATTGCATTATAAAAGTCAAAATGATAAAGTTGAAATGAAACATTTTCAACTTTCTTGAAGCTAAACATCTTGACTTTTTTCCACTCAAAATTTCATTAAAATAGCAACATTCCCACACATTTCTATTTTGATGAAACTACAGTTTTAATGGGAAAACTTGTTCAAAACTTTTCAACCAGCTAAAATTGACATCAATGGAGCTATGTCTCTTTACTCTCACTGAGGATCTGGCTCATTGATAATTTACCTTTAGATCAGCTTGCTGTTATTTGACTACTTGCTTACATACTTTACAGACTAATAATGCAGTGAATGGAGCAAGATCAAAAGGAGCTAAAGGTGGCAATATAACGAGACACAGAAACATAGGAATTGCCACACTGGGTCAAATCTGAGATCCATCTAGTCCAGTAATCTCCATTCAACAGTGTCTACCACCAGATGTTTCTGATGAAAATGTAAGAACCGGCAGTAGGCAAATGTGGGGTAATCTGCCTTCCAAATTAGGTTTTACTCTGGT